AACACAGACAGCATCGTCAGAAGGAAAGTTGATAAAATAAATTAAAAATTTTGTATTGTTTGATACATATGCGTACCGAACCGAAAGCACTGTATCGAACGGTTCAATATCGATACAAGTATTGTTGCACCTTTACTGCTTACTCATCATGATTTTTATACTGTTTCCAAGTGGCATCTGCAAAACTCTGTGAAGCATCACTGCAGTGTCAAGCTGGAGCTGTGAGTAAGGTAGGTATCACCATATGATTCCTCCAGTCAAGTCCGGGGTCTCCTCCCAGCTGGATATTTCTAGAAAGCCTTTAAAGATACCCAGACTTCAGCTGGATCCTTCAAATGCCAAAAAACAACACTACAACCTCCCATTTCTTTTGGTCTTTACCTTAAGGTTCTTCTTCCTCGTCACAATAACAGTTCGGAGCAGTATGCTTGACAAGTTGGTGAATAAACAAAACAATACACCATTTCTTTCTTCCAGCAACTAAATGTAAGTGACACCTCTTTACCTCAAAGAGCTTTATGACAGCAGATTTGGAGCTGCTAACACGTAACAGCTTCACAACAGGACTCCACAAACTGACGGTTACAGAGGTAACATCTGTCAGTTATGTGTAATTAATGCCCCTTCACAGAAACCGTGCGTGACATTTTCTGTCCGGTGCATTATAGTACGCCCAGCATCTTTCAGTCCTGCATCACCGCCGCCCACTGAGCTCCGGTTTTTGTCCTACAGATCTCCTACTTTGAGAGTCAGCTACTGCTGCTGCACGAGCTCCAATGTTTGGCAGAAAGTCTTGGGTCCTGAAACTAAAACCCTCCAGATCTGAGCATCCTATTCAGAAACCCATTCAACACTGACATAATGGAGTGGAAGGAAGCAGCACTTTCACAGGGTTAATCACTCATCTCGCAGGCCCTTGCACTAGATTGAATTCCTGCATTATGTCAGCTGTGTGGCCTATAGATTTACCACTGCACTGTCAGCATGTGTGAGTTCTGCCACACTCTGTGGTTGGCATAGCTCACTGTGTTGAGCTTTCTGACAGCACATACAGCGAGGACCAATCGTTCTATCATACTGTGCAGAAAACTCACCATTGTTATTGATATTTTAAGGTGTAAATAAACATTTTGAATCCGTTACTACAAAGTTCTGTTTTCTGTCCTGTCAGTTTGTTTAGCAGGTGAAAAAGAACTGACCAGTCTGTAAGTTTGGAGCTAATCTAGCTAGCTAGCTAATCCATGTGACTGCAGTTAATCGTTTTACAGCCAGCAGGTCACTGATGACCTGTCCAGGGTTTTATGAGACTTCATAACATTTTCCTTTCTCCAATCCAACAGTGATGTCATAATGTCCTGATACAGTCAGTCTACATCACTGACTGAAGACAAAGCAACCAGAAAACATTTCCTTGTTCAAAACACCCATCTGCGCATCACAGTATAGGACATTTGTCTCTTCTTATCAGTATCAATTTATACTCTTTAATTGATTGGGTCTAAATGTAGTAATACACGATGACTGAGGACCATTC